AATATCCTAAAAGAAACTTTTATCCGTGCCGTACCAAAAATTGAGCGTAATGTAAACGGGGCTTTAGTTGATATCGTATTTTGTATATAGCTTAAAATATTATATATTTTGTACTTCCTTTTCTTGCACGCCCCCCCCCCCCCTGTGAAAATCAGCTTCTGTTGACAGGGTTAGCGTGGGTAAATAAAGTTTTTCTATCTATCTATATCTTGTAGATGAAAATCAGAATCACTTATCTAAGTTATACAAGTTCATTACTGGTGCTGAAAGTGTGACACCACTTGGTTGCGAAAAAACTATAACCATAAAATTCAAACATGGATGCAAACCCGGATGCGCATGTAGACCAACAACGTCCGGCTGTGATTGTAGCATTACCTTTCCAGTCCATTTTAGAGATTCGAAACATTTTGAAAAAGTTATGGATGGTGCCCTGATCGAGAGTTCTGGATTCGGACTGATATAGACACGGGCGTACCTTAATTGCCTAGTGACCTCCATATAGGACCGGTTGTATAATATTTAGCTACTTCTCCAGTTAGTGCAAAAATCATAATTAGTGTTAATAAATAGTGCTAATTTGAGATTTTAATAATGCTGAACAAAAGTAGTCAAGCCTGTTATACAACCGGCCCGTGAAACTCTGTTGCTAAAAGTGAATCCGAAGGAGCTATTAGACGTCAGTCTCAGTTGCACTGTTATGGAACGTCAAAATAACCTGCTCCACGTATATGTGGAGTTCACGTGTTTTTCAACACGAAACTTATAATTTTTTTGTTATTCTTACCAGTTATATAGTTTTTGTTAACAGTTTCTGATGCATAACAGTATGCAGATCGCAAGATGCTTCATTAATTTACAGGTGTAATAACAATATTATGTAGATTATTTTGAGTCTCGAATTGCTTATTCTTACCATTTCAAGAAAATGTACATATATAAATGGTACACCCCAAACTCAAGCTATGAGTTCAATGTGGCTTATGCATAATGCCTACTTTCTATCTCTGCGTGTCCATTAGTAGAGAATACTGTTTAAGAATTTCAAAACAAAATAATACATGGAATAATCAGCTAATCAAGAACCAAAAATATTTATTATATATCAATAGTCAAAGTCGCATTTTTCTAGCGTTTTATTGGTTGAGAGCATATCACGTGAGAGTGACGAAATTAGGCTGTCTCCCTCGCAACAGCGCGAGAGGGAGATAATACGTTATCGACCGGCGAATAACAAAAAAAAATCACGTGCGCCATTACGTGAAGATGCGACCTTTGGACTTTCATGCTTAGTACGTAATTAAAACTTTCGCTTTATAAAGTAACTGCAGTGTAGCCAGTGTTTAATATAACGTTTTAACAATAAAATATTTCACGTATTTTACGTTCATTTGTTCTTTAATTTGTTATTTCTTTGACTATTGATATATAATAAAACACTTATTTACTGAGACCTCGGGAAAGCAGTGTATTTTGTGGACCCTCGACCGTCGATGTTTCCCTCGGCTTCGCCTCGGGAAACATCGACGGTCTCGGGTCCACAAAACACACTGTTTCCCTCGGTCTCAGTAAATAAGTGATAAATAGTATTACTAAGTGTTTATTTCAAACTTTGCAGCTTGTATACATGTTAAATAAACATTCATCTTATAACTTGGGGTACTTCTGAAATATAGAATCTTATCATTCATTGTATGTCATAAGAATAGAAAAGAGTTCCAATGCTTCATTGTAATTGACAGGATATTGCCTTCCTTGGCTCTCCATGTAGTAGTGAAAATATTCTTGAAATATGTTTTCTTCATCTGCATGGGCATCTGCACAATTTCCCTCAATTTCCTGTAACTTTTCGCTCCCAACTTCCACTCGGCAATCAAATGCTCCAAATTCTTCCGGGATTGCAAATAGTACATCTGGCACTCCAGCGACTGTTTCATGACGAGATGGCCTAATGTAAAGAGTATTCCAGTATCGTTGTGTTTCATCAATAGAACTCTGTAAAACACCATTAAAACAAAACCACAAGCATTCATTGGTAAAGTCCTCATCTAAATTCAACTGTCTTTCATCAACCAGATCTTTAAAAAAAATAATTCAACAGCTTGAGCATGTTTTTTTGAAATGAGACCACCAGTTCTCAATTCTCTGGTTGTGTGTTGATGGCCCGAAAATATGAGCTTGTTCTCCACTAAATGGTGCATTGTCGTCAGATCGAAAGTAACACTGTGCTCCAGCAATTACACCATTTTCCGTTCCGCAGTCAGTTCGTGTTTGTAATGGGCAACCTTCATTTTGTCGTACAGCATCTAAGTAGAACTTCGCAACAGCTTCTGGTAAATTATTTGACCTTGTGACCTCCAACCAAAGCACTTTCCTGCTAAAGCCATCAACTGCCCCTTTGTATTGGGAAGCCGTAAGGTTTTAGCTTATCATATCATGTAAATGTAATCAAACAATTTTATATATATATATATATATATATATATATATATATATATATATATATATATATATATATATATATATACACACACACACAGACAAGGGACGTGCTCAACCTCGTACCCAGGGCCTTTGCGCGGTTCAGAGGCTCTGGTACGGGAAGCAAAGGCCCTGGTAAACACTGGTCATGTGACTCCAAAAATATTGGACATTTCGTAATAATTTAGTTTTCAATCCGGGGGGAGCGGAGCCGATTGATTTTATCAAACATGGCAGCACGAAGGCGCGACGTTTTCGAGTTTTTATATTATTATGATAAATAAAACTTTCCTAGTGAGATTTAAGAGTGGGTATATATTAACTATGCATTCTGCGGGCTTTCTTTCAACAAATTGTGGAATAATAGCTAACAGTAATACTTATCAAAGATCGAAGGACGAAGATCAAACTGAGAGAAAACTAGTCGAGTGATCTGTCTTTAATAAACTGTCTATTTTGTATCCAATGCAGCTGCTTGTGTGCGACGTTTTATAAAGAATTAAATAAACATTGTTGATTATAAGTAATTTTTATGTATTGACCAAATAATATCACTTGGGATTTTATTGTACTTTTATGGAAGGATAAATCAGAGGGGACATCTATGGAAACGAAATTCTTCATGTGTATTAAACATGTAGTTATCAAAGCAGAATATTTTGAAACAATTAACTGGTCGAGTGACAGGTTGGTTTCCGTATGTATGTAGTTTAAAATACAGTTGTGAATGAAATTATACACAGTATCTTGAAACCTTTGTGTGTGTGAGTTAATTTCATATTTATTTTTTTGGGATGTATCATCTATATTTCCGTTTGTCTGGAAGGAGGGGAGGGGGGAGGGTACCAATCCTGAATCATGAGAAATAATATACAGTGATCTTGAAACAACAAGTTTACTACGAATCTTATATCAGTGATATGTGACTTAGGAGTCTTAAATGCAAATAACAGTCTGTATACTGGGTGTGCGTTCTTCTATTTATTTACATTTGCAGTTACTGTACATCGGTTCATGATTTATGAAATTTGAACCAAAGCTGTAACATAATAATAGTCACGGCACAAGACACATTTTAGGGTAAATATTTTTCTGAAATACTTCATTTGTTAGTTGCATCTTATAGTATATACTGTAATAA